CAAATTAAAGATCCTTAGATTTAGTAAGACACAAAAGCAAACTGAGGATGTTTTTACAGAGATAATTTGACTCTGTATTAAGGGAAAGGCACTCTTATCCATCATTTTATGATTTCATTCCTTGCTAACCAGCATCCACCTGTTTTCATTTTCTCAGGATTAAAAACTGCTCTCAGGGAAATATTTGATACCTTCATTAGAAAATGTAAATCATATACTTTCATATGTTATGTATCCCAGAGTTATTTGCATTTTACTCATACTTAAATAAAATTTTTATTTAAAATAGAAATATTTTGTTATTACTTAAACTTTAAGTAAAATTCAACTACTCTGTTAGGCGTTGTGATACATTTAATTCTCATGTCAACTCTATTAAGTGAATATTGTCCTTACTCCTATTTTGTAGATGATAAAGCCAGGGGTGTTAAGTAACTTCCTTAAAGAAAGAGAGTATTAAGTAGAGAATCCAGACTTTGAACAACCTACTATTTCTGGATCTGGAGTCTATGCTCTAACCATGATAGTTATGAAGCAGACTGGTTCATGTTAACCAAAGAAAGTTAGAAATTATGTTTTAGGAGGTATTAGTAAGCAGATATGCATCTTAAAAGTATACCTCTCAGACAGCTCCTGCCCTGATATTCATGAGGCCAAAGATGCTACTTTGTTTGGCAATATCCCAATCCAAGTAAGGACAATTGAACAGATTTTTTAGGCCACATGTTTCTGGATTGAAGTTGTGTAAGTTTGAAAAACAATAGCTTCTTAGAGACACATCTGAACACCACACTCATAAAGTATTGGCATTTGCATTTGAAAATGTCTTAGAAAATCCAACAGTCATAATATTCATTAAGGTATTACGCTATAATCTCCACTAAGAGTCAGAATTCAGAAATTGTTTTTGTTTTTCTCGGCAAAGCCATCTTTAAAGGGACATTTTTGATTTGATTGCTTTCTTAACTGAAATTCTGCAGTCATTAAGGCTCTGTGTGTGTGTGTGTTTTAAACCAATTAATAATTTGTGTTTTATCCTGCTTTATTTTGTGTTGACTTGTTTTCTTTCAGTCCAGCCCAACTTTAAAACAATACTTCTCTGGAATACTCACGGAATAATTTTTTTCTAGAAAGAGAATTATCTATCAAAAAACACTTTAGAAGTCAAAAGGTTTTTAAAGTTTAAAAGCAGCTAAACGCTTCCTGGACCTGACTCCTTTTACATAACCTCCGTGTTACTGATAGTTTTAAGGGAAATGATACTTTAATAATTGTATAGACATCTCAACAGAAACATCCTCAGTTTACTGCTGTGTGTCTTACTAAGTATGTAAAAAATCAAACCACATGAATTATTATTGCTCCAAAAATTCTTAAGCTGATATTTTGATCATAAAATCACAGCTCTTAGAAGATTTATAAGAGGTAAACTTAGGTTTGACCTGTGGTATGATGGTAAATGTTTAACAATAGACTTTCCAGAAAGAATAAAGTCTGATTTGTAGCATAATATTTTTGATGGGTGTGAACACTCCCACTGTAGCTGATTTCAAGCTAGCCACATGAAATTACTGAAGGCAGAATTGGAAAGAGATGCAACACAATGAGTACACCACTGAGGCTGATGATCCTGACAACCTGTGCACTTTCATCAAACTTCCAGTGTCTTTGAAATCACCTTTTTATCAAATGTTAGAAAAGGGATGATGATGGGAACTGCGCTTCATAGCCCAGGCCCTAGAGTCAAACTGCCAAGGCCTTAATCCAACTCTTCAACTCCTGTCTTCCCTTTGGTAAGCTATTTAACTTTGCTGTGATTTAAGCTTTCTCATATACAAAATGGTAATAATAGAGTTTCTGTCTTACAGGACTTTTATGATGTTTAAATAAAATGGTACATATAAAATGCGTAGAAGATTTTTTGGCACATAGTAGGCCCTTCGTTCGTGTTAGCTACAGGATTTACAAGTCCAGCTATCAGAATGTTTTATATGTTGTCATCTAAATCTTTCAAAGGTCATTAAAAACCATTCTGTTTTATAGGAATACTCTGAGAAGAGCCAAGTATAGAGGAAGGAGTACTAAGTAAGAAGTCACGGGTTAGGTTTTAGTCCCAGTTTTGCCAACGCTTCCATCCATGACATCTGTTAAATCATTTTCCTTCTAAGAGCTTTAATTCTCTCATTAGTAAGATGTAGAAAGTAATAATCATCCTGCCAATCACATAGGATTGTGGTGAGACTAATATGAGATAATGAAACTAAGAGCCCTTTGAAGATGATACAAATGTGGGATATTATTATTAATCCAATTTAAAAATTATAATGCCATGGAAGCATTATAATAAAATAATAAAAGTTTGGAGTAAATATTAGGAATAATGTGGCATTAAGAATGGGATGTTTTGTTATAAGAAGGAAAAAAAGAAATTAATTCTTACCACGAAACAGGGCAGCATTGTGTTCAACCTCTTTTTCCCGCAAAAGAGCAATTTTCAAATGAAAGCGAGCTATACTTTAGGTATAACATACATTTAAATGAGTTAGGGATCATAGGGAACTAAGTTAGCAAATATCCATGGAGTCAAACTTTTCAGAGAACGGAAATGTATCCAAAAATGAACAAATAAATAAAGCATATAATTATCAAGTGAAAGACAGGTCACTTAGGCAAACCAGGTAGTAATAAGTCATTCGAAGATGAATAATGTAGATCTTCAAATAGTTCTTTGGTTCTTAAGTTTTATAGATAAATAGAAAAGAAAATATCTGGTCAAGGACAGATTGAAGAAATATTAAACCTGTTAAGTTCAGTCATCTCAAGAACAGTAAGAGCACACGTAAAAAGGAGGGAGCAAGGGAATAACATCAGGTATTTTTAATATTTGTACTTTGGATTCTGTTTACTTAGAAGAATCATGTAAATTCATATACATTCAGTGAACATTCACCAAGAAAACAATTCTGGATAGAATTTACAATCTAAAAATATGCCCATGTTATTGTCTCTCTCTCTCTCTCTCTCTCTCTCTCTCTCTCTCTCTTTCTTTCTTTCCACCCAGACTGGAGTGCAGTGGCGCAATCTCAGCTCATTGCAACCTTGACCTTCCAGGCTCAAATGATCCTGCCACCTCAGCCTCCCAAGTAGCTGGGATTACAGACACACGCCACCATGCCCATCTAATTTTTATGTTTTCTTGTAGAGCTGAGGTTTTGCTATGTTGCACAGGCTAGTCTTGAACTTCTAGGCTCAAAAGTGATCTGCCCACTTCAGCCTCCCAAAGTGCTAGGATTATAGGTGTGAGTCACTGTGCTCAGCCTGTTTTCTTTTCCTTAAATAATGTCTCCAAGCTATGCTTTAGTAGAGGAGTTTCATTCTGAGGACAAAAAAAGAATCATTTGTGCAACAAAGCTCTCACTATGGCCTCTTCTGCCAGCTATTAGTAAATATTCTCATTGTTAAATATTTAAAAAATGAGAATACAATAAAGGAATACTTTTAAGTTTCCTTGTTCAATGAAAAAAAGCAGAATGAAAAACCGTTTATGTAGTATACTCCCTTCCATGAAAGGAGGAGAGAAAAATACAAATAAAAATGTGTAATAAATCACAGGAAAGACATATAAGAAATTTATGAGAAACAGAGTAGACCAACCAGGCATGTGAATTTTTTACTTATTAAACAATGTGTGTGTGCGTGTGTGTGTGTGTGTGTGTGTGTGTCGGCATGCCTGTGAAGTTCAATACAGATAGGTAAATAAAAACTAGTGTTATGTAGTTGTCCATCTGGTTTTACATTGCTCATGTTCCCCAAGTTTAGGCCTGGCACAGGCACGGATACCTGCAGAGAGTGAAAAGGGCCTAGTGGATGCCCTCACCTCCATGTTCCCAATCACTTTGCTGCTTCAGGTTGTTCAGCAATGCGGTGGGAGAGGGAGGAAATGACTAGCTAGACTGGTGGTTTTGGTGTCATCTATGTGACAAATGTCCAAATGCTGCCTATTTTTTTCCCCTGGGAACCATTTGTGTGTCCTTCAGAGACAACTTGCTAACACCAAGGGAGTACTTTGAACATATATTTTTTAATATTTTAGGTTATTTTTTATAATTCCTATCCTAGCTCTTATGCCATCATTCACTCTATGCAGCCTCTTTTTCACTGACTTAAGTACTTTCGGTACTTTAAGAGACCTCTATTCTACCTGCTTTGTAGCTTTGAAAAAAATTAGCACCTTTTCCATATCAAACTCTGGAAATGTATGCCTCTCTTCCCACAGGTTCTCTCTTACCTCTGAATTCACAGGTAGACCTAATTAGCCTGTCACTTTTATCCTTTTTGAGAAAAGAAATAGGAACCAGATATCTTTGAACACCAAGATACACTGGTAACATCTGGATTTGGCAAATATCCTCCAGGGGTGAAAGGCCTCTTTGAGAGTCACAGCATTAAGCTGGTAGCCCTCTTCAAATAAGTCCCCTTTCCTTACTACTGAGAATTATGAGGCTAGTTTTGGATAATCAAAAACACACATTTGGGACTGCCCCTTAGCAATCCCTGTATAGAGGGCCTGATAGACATATCTCATGAGAATGTTGGGCATGTAACACCCATTTTCCTAAAGGGACTCTGAAATTTGAGATAATAGGGAAAATCCTTACATCAGTGAATATCAATATAAGCCTACATATATCTCTGACATTTAAAAATCTGATCCCAAGGGGAGTGAGGGTAAGGGAAGAGATTTTTTTTTCATTTTATAACTTTAGTGCTTGACTATTTTATGATATTCAAGCATTTGAATTAAAACATGTATTAATTTTAGAGAATCACAGTCCAGTCAATTAGCTACATGAAGAAGAACCTTCCATATTTTAATGAGACTTGATTTCAGTTTCATATGAAGATATGCTAAATTCTGGTTTGAGATAAAGGAGGTTCAAGAAAGAGGAACAGAGGGGAATGAGGCAAAGAAGATAAAAGAGAGGAAGGTTAAAACTTACCTTGTTTCATCGATATAAACTGCTTCCAGCACAGATGCTGCATATTCAATATTCTTCTTCAAGTCAATCACGTTAACGTCACCTCTTTCCAGCTGCTTCACTAAGCATCTTAGTCTATGTCAAAAAACAGCCAAAGAGAGAGAAACAGAAAGGAATTTATTGTAACTACATGGAAAATAGGACAGTATTAAATACACTAAGAGTTTTACCATAGCTGTTTCCAAATCAACAAAGAGCAATATTTTCAGATTCTTTGACATAATTAAGACCAATCTTTATTATGTAAGAAATTATTAGACATTATATTCAGCTCTCAATAATATTAAGAGTATAGGTAGCTAGTTTAAGTGCAATATTTCAGAGATAGTCTTCCTGAAAATTCAAGACAATATAGACATTTTCAGAAAAGTATATTCCTATAATTTATTCCATGGCTTTTCTGCTTTTTCAGTGTTGACACTAGGAGAATATTCAAAGGATACTCCTATTAATTCACAATTGCAAAAATATGTAAGCAACCTAAGTGCCCATTGACCAATGCATGGGTAAAGAAAATGTGAGATACACACACACACACACACACACACACACACACACACACCAAGGGATACTACTAAGCCATAAAAAGGAATAAAATAGTGTATTTTTCAGCAACTTGGATGGAGCTGGAGGCCATTATTCTAAGTGAAGTAAATCAGGAATGGAAAGTCAAATATTGTATGTTCTCACTTAAGTAGGAGCTAAACTGTGAGAATGCAAAGGCATCAGAATAATATAATGGACTTTGCAGACTCACAGAGGAAGGGTGGGAGGGTGTGTGGGATGCAATATTACATACTGGGTACAGTGTACACTGCTCGAGTGATGGGTGCACAAAAATTCCAGAAATCATCACTAAACAACTGATTCATGTAACCAGAAATCACCTGTACCACCCAAAAAACTATTGAAATAAATAAATAATTGAAAAATAAAATTAAACAACTTCATAAAATAAACAACAAAAAAGAGTGATCTTCTGACTCCTAAATTAGCTATTATTTACTGTATAAAGCAATAAAGATAAAGATGAAAGGCAAAAGTTCCTTAGAAGGCTAATTGAGACAAGAAAAAATGCAAGTGTGTGCCCTTAGTGTACTTCCTGCACTCGTTTTTAATTTCAGGCAAATGTGAAAATATTTTCTCATATTTGAGTCTTTAGGTTGATGTGTCCCAATGCTGTGAGGAATTTTAAAGCATAGGACTCAGCTAGATTCCTGAATTACAGAAACCATGGGATAATTTATGTTATTATGTTAAGCCCCAAGCCTTCTGATAACTGTTATACAGCAATAGATAGCTAATAAAGTAAGGTGATAAAAATTACCTTAAGTTTGTAATAGCTTTGGCAACTTCGAGGCATTAAATTGTCAGCCACGTGTTCCTAAAGATATTGCCCTTCACCAAGTACAAGAGGAACATACTCTCTGCATACTATAGATAAGCAATATAAAGACTACTTGTCTATTTTCCTAAGTCATCAGACAGAATTTAGTTCCATTATATTCAAAGGTATTGCAAAACAGAGAGTAGAGTGCAGCTACTTTTAGGCACTCCCACAGAAATAACTTAGCAGATTTTTAGCCATTTATTTTGGATCATTTCCAACGCCCAGGGTGAAGATACAAAGGCAAGTCAGAATTTCAGCAAAGCTATTTGACATTCCTCCACCCATAAGAAATAGTTCATTTCTCTATGAGAAAAAAGACACACCTAGATGATAACTTCTTATTCAGGAAGCTGTAAGCAATTACTTTTTTGTGCCATTTACTTTGTATAATAAAATATCAGCAGGCAACAGCATTGAAAAATAAATTGTATGCACCAATAAATACATCCTATTAATATAGAATAAGCAAAACAAAGCACAACAAAAATACAACTGAAACAGGTTACTTAGAAAGGAAGTAATCTTAAGCCTGGCTATAAGTCTTGTCTGAAACACTGAATGTGATGATAACAGATCAAGATATAGAGGATTTTGAGATTTCTGTCATGCTTATGACCCAAGAACATTATTCTTCATCAAATTATCCTTTATTTATTAAAATAAAAGAAAAAAATTTTGGTTTTGTTTTTTCCCTTGGTTCAGCAATGGCTTACAAATATACTATCATATGTCTTTCTTGTGAAAATTACTTGAATACAGCTTGGTTCTACTTGGTTGTGTGATATTGTTTAAAACAATAAATACTTAAAATGGTTGCCTTTCCTTTTTCCTGAAAAACTGCATTCTATTTTTGTGTGTTAGCGATTTTCCCACTAAAAATACTACATTTTCTAACCTCTCTTGAAATTAGGTGTGGTCACATGACTAAATTCTTGCCAGGGCTGTGCATGGAGGTTGTTGGGTGACACTTTCACAACAGTTCTTTGGAGAGAGCTAGCTGCGCTGGAAGGAGTTCTCTTGCATCCTTGCCTGTTCTTTACTGCCTGGAATGCAGTGGAACTGTCTAAAGGTTCAGTAGCCACCTGGGAACATGAAATGACTTGGCAAAAGAAAGTGTGTACCACACGCTAAGAATGGTAGAAAAGAAAAATGGAAGTGGTCTGGATATTATGTTGTGGGCCCACCTGAATGAAATTGCCCATCTCTGGACTTGTTTCTGATGCAAGAACAACAAAAATTGCATTTAAGCCACGATTATTTTATAATTTCTTTTATATGCAGATGAAGCAAAAATACACTGGTAAATGAATAGAGAATGAATCAAAATAAGGTACTAAAGAATGGAGAAATCATCATTATCAAATGGGGTGATGACTCCCTGTGAGACCATTGACAAGTGCATTTCCTAACTCACAACAGCCCGTGGTTGTTCTTAGGAGAATCATCCCATCTGCAACTATGACTGATAAGACTTGTGATAGTCAAGAGGCTGTAATGCTTGCACGATGAACATGCCCTTTCACATAGAGATCTCAATGTGGTTTAAAAATAAAATATTATGAATTATGTCTTGATATTCATAATTAGGTATATAAACCTATAATTCGACATAAAATTTCCACTTGGGAAAAACACTTCAGTAAGGTTTACCACCCAACTAGAAAATGTAATCACACATAGTTATAACTCAGTAAAACCATATCCCCTCATACACACATACACACACACACGCCTAAATTCACTATGCCAACCCAAAAAGACTGGATAGGAATGTATATTGGGGGCTTACCAGGACTCGTTTTTTGTCCTTTGCTTGTTGCACTACATTTTCACTAGTGAGTGCACATTTCCATTTACATAAAAAGGAAAACCTTTATATTGTAAAAATATTATTTATAACTAGAACATCAGCTTAATGGAATAATTTATATCATTACTGTCCTAACTGTAATCATTTATATCATTACTATCCTAATTGCAAGTGTGCTTTTGTAATCAAATTATATATACAATAATCCTCAACAATCTTATTTCAGCTATTATTTTACTTTCTTCCTAGATAATACAAGGTCAAACATCTGCATAATTTTCAAATAATCATATATTCTATACTGGTAGGTTCCAAAATGTTAAGGCTTTATTATATATATCTGTACAAATTTATCTCTGTTTTTAAGAAGATAATCACATCCTATTTACCTAATTCTTAAGCCATCCAATAGGCAAATTCTCAGAGCTGAAAATAAAGTATTTTATGCACAGAGCCATGTGCATAAAACATACAAGTTCCCTTAATTTAGTGAAAACTTTTTAATAATGATTTTGCTTGTTTCATCAATCTGTGTGGGCAAGCTGAGTAGAAAACAATGTTCTTAATTTCTGGCATAGATAAGTTGTTCTGGTGCCCAAAGCTTAGGGTGGGGGCCTGTTACTGATGTCCAATTTTCTGACCCATTAAATCGTGGATGAGGACTCTACTGGCTACTGTGTTTGGTAGCAAAACAAGTTAACAGCTGTTGTATCAAACAGTATAGACAACCTTGCTAACAAGGTGCTAAAAACCCAGTTTAGTTAAATAAATAATTATTGGGTGTCTATCACTACATCTGGGGCTGTGTAAAAGAATATATATCTAGATATAGTTATTAGTACATATATAAGAATATATATGTATATATAAATACATAAATAAGGATATATACATACATATATAGTGTATAATGCATGGGAACCTGTGTGTGCACCACAATACCTTCTTTAAGGTAGTTGCAATCTCTGAGGGTTGTATGACATGCAAACAATGTGGTCAAATGTTAAACTGTAGTTATTTCCCATTGCTTCTTTTATGCACATCCTAATTTCTAAGCAAACTGGTTTAGTCACTGTTCCTCAAAAACCCTCACATCATCTTACATTCAAGTCCTTCTCTCTTACTGAAATCTCTTTCTCCCACCTTCCTACCATCTGTAACTGCCTAATCATATTTGGTTACCAGGCATATCTGGGATGCTACCAGTCTTGTAAGTCCTTTGAAGATGCCTGTCCATTGTGATCGCTGCCTACATAGAAACTAAAACAAATTTTATTCACCTCTCATTGACAGTATTTGCATTTCTCTGACTTTCCTTATAATTTCAATTTCTTGTATATGATGTTTTCCCAATTGGTCTCTCATCAAATAAAAAATTTTCAGGTATGCAAATAAACAGAAAAATTCACCCATGATGAGGATAAAAATAAATGAGTTTAAATTGACCCAAATATAACAAAGATGATAGAATTTGCAGACAAAAATGTTGACTGTTATTATAAAATCAAAATAATATAAACAACATTAGACCAATAAATTTAATAACTTGGATAAAATAAATTATTTTCTTTAAAAACACAAACTACCAAATATCAAAAAGAAACAAATAAATGAAATTTGTAGCTAAAACTCCTTCATATAAGAAAACTTCTGGCCCAAAAGACTTTACTAAAAAACATTTAAAGTTGTAATAATATCTATACATACTTTTCCAGAAAATTGCCCAATCATAAATACTTCCCAACTCATTCTAGATGACCAAATCACTTTTATAACAAAACTAGATGCAATCATTGAGGAGGAGGAGAATTCTATTCATATAACATTTTAGAAAAGGCAAACAATCCTAATAGTGACAGAAAGCAGATGGTAGTTGTTTGGGAATGGAGAAAGTGAGAATCAGGGAGGAAGAGGTACAAGGAAATTTTTGACAGTAATGGATAATGTTAATATTTTTGTTATGGTTTCATAAGTGTATACCTGTGTCTGCACTTATCAAATTGCAAATTACAAACTAAAATTTGTAATCAGTTATTTGAGAAAGAAAAAGGCTATGAGCTAAATAGATGCTATTGTTATATACCTTCATTTTTCATCAATTTTATTAAAATATTTAGAATTCTAAGTTACATTATCAAAGACATGAAAAAAAATCTACAGCATCGTTAAGCTCCTAATGATCTTTTTCCAAAGAGGATGACACAAATCTTTCATAATACATAAGACTTTAAAAATCAGCCCAAAAGCATGTGCTAAGCACACTTTGATCTGGCTGGTTTTTAAAGGGACTTCCTTAACTTTTAATGATCAGGACACTTAAAAGAAGACAGAAACCAAAATAGCAATACCATCTTTGAAAGCAATTAATTGGCTCTGTGATTAAATCAAGCAATTGCAGAAGACAAATAATTTCTACTTTTGAACAAAGAGTACTGAGTTGTAGAGAATTATTGAGTCTTTTTATTCAAATACAGAACTGCTACATTCCAAATGAAATTACTCAATGTAAAATGATGCAGTTTTTATAATCAAGTACTCTGAATACTTTCTAAGTTATGGTTACATAACCCAATCTTGCAAAATGACTACCTACATAACTAACAATATTCTCATATGGAAAAATCTTGTGTGTCTACACATGTCTTTTTAAATTTTAGGATATAAAATTCACAGGATATCCCTCATGTGACAGAGCATGAATAACAATGATTAAATAAAAAAAAATTATTAGAATGATTTATAATTATTACATTACTATCAATGTTCCCATTTGTGATATGATTAAAATACAAAAGTGAGAATGATATGGTTATAAGAAATCCATACTAAGAATCAAAAGAGCTAAGGTTAAAACAAATTATATACATATAATATATATTAACATTAAAATCTGCCATAAGCAGAAGTGCATGAAATTGCATAAATAGAAACTGTCAGAACAGAAGCAACTGTGTCATTTTCAGTAAATCCTGCTTGACTCTAAAACAATAAAAAATTGATAATAAAATCCATTAAATAATGAAGTCCTATCTATTCTGCTAGTCAATGCTCAGGAAATTAAACCTTAACCTTAGTCAAAATGCCGGGCTTAAGGATTTAAAGACTTTTCCAGTGTTTTTTTAATATATGCAAATATAACTGTAAAGCTCCATGATACCTTTATTTTATAGGATAAATAATTCCCCAAATAATTTCTATAATCGAACAAAATGAAAACAAATGGGACAATGGCATAATGTACAGCATGAGGACTACAGTTAATAATACTGTATTATATACTGGAAGTTTGCCAAGAGAATAGACTTTTAGGTACTTTTACCACCAAATAAAACCATAAAAAGCTATTTATATGAGATGATGGATATGTTAATTTCCTTGAGTGTACTAATCACTTGACTGTATATGTATATAAAACATCATGTTGGTCTATCTTCAATATATATAACAAAAAATAGTATGGCAAACAGTATTACTTTTAAAAATGTGTTTATAGTCTACGTTTAAAGGAGCAAAATAATCCCATTGTGGCAGAGAATATGTGATTGAAAAATTGTTTTAAGTAAAAAGGAATATATAATTGTTCTCTCTCTTCCCCAAGGAGTCACAATATAGGTAAATTATTTATTTCAAAAGGCATTAACTTTTTTCTACAATAATGGACATTATGTAATTTCCAGTTTGTTGAAGAGTTCCTTATAGGTACAGAAAGGTAAACATTCAGAGTTAGGCATGCTTTCAAGATCAATTTGTTTCTCCTTGAAGATAAGAAAACAGTTAGATCATATCAACTCTAAACAAGGAAGCAATCAAGTGTTCTTGTGTTACCCATCTGAAATAACTGAGTCAGAGAATTTGTGGCATATTTTTTTTTAGTTGTTTAAAAAGAAATAGACAAAAGATTTGCTTTAAATCCTGGTAGATTAAAAAATTTCTTTATTGATGCTCACCACTGAAACATTAATATGACTTAATAAATTGATATAGAGACCGGTGAGACTGGGCGCCTTCAGGGTGATATGGCTATAGACAAAAAGAACCATTAAGAAAAAACAAAAAACTCTGAGAAAAGAGATTGATCCACGATGCAAAATCATGCAACTTTTTAAATGGAATAAATGGTGATGAAAGAACTTTTGGAAATTAACACTAATAACATGAAAACGTCAACAGAAAGGATAGTGGGAAAAGTCTAATTTCTATCCCAGGAAGTGGACAAAAAGACAGCAAGACAGTTACTGGAACAATAAAGAAAAAAATTAGAGTCTTCTCTTTTGAGAAGATTAGAGTAAGGAGTTGATGAAGTTAATGTACAAGAGTTATTTCCTCTTTACATATATCCTCTTGCACTATTACCATGTGGATGTCCATGAAGTCCGAAACGGATAAATCAAGAAACAGTAAAATCATATTATTTGGAAATATAAATCTTCCTCCAAAAGACAGAATGACTAAAAGAGCTAAAACATTGTGATTATTTACTTTTGGGGAATTGACCAATGTCTTTTGATAATAATAAAAAGAATTTTAATGATATAGTTCTCTGTTTGAGTAAAATGTCCAAGTCACAAGGTAAGTGACTTAACTTAGAAGTCAGGTTCTTTACTTGGTAGTTTTGGAATCACTGACCGTGACAAATTTAAATGACTGAAAAATAACAAGATGTCAAATTAACCTTGAATTTAAAGTAAAAAAGATTTTGAAAGGCTGTAAAGATTTCAAAGTTGATAGTGATGTTGAGATACAGTTCTAGGTTCTTTTAGGCACATGGTAAAGCCAAGGGTAAAAGAAAAAATAAATTTAACATTTTATATATATATCACACATATATACACAAACACACATATATATATACACACACACATCTTTGGTCACATATATCACGCTCATGTACTAAACTAACTGAAAATATACACATATTTCAGGTTTGAGGCAGATATAGAGAAGAAAATATTTTAAAAAAAGAAAATATATATTAAGTGAACAGAGAGAAAAAATGACAAAATGAACTATGATGGCTTAATTTATATTCTTTTTGCAAAATCAGAAGAAAGAAAGAAGTGTATTGACTACTTTTACAAAAATCAAATTAAATTGTAGCTTAGAGAAATGAAAGTAAGTAGATAAAAGGTTGGCTGGGCAAAGAGTTGTGAGATTTGGGTGCTCCTGAAGCAGTAAGCGGGTGAAAACCAGTCAAGTCTATTACTATTTGGCTGAGCAAGGCAATCTTAGCACCAGTTCCATAAAAAATAACAAAGGAATGGTTTAAAGTGGTATATTAGACCAATTGGGCTGCTGTAACAAGATACCATATGCTGGGTGGCTTATAAACAAGAGAAATTTCTTTCTCCAGTTCTGGAGGCTGGAAAATCCATGACTGAGGTGTTGGCATAATTCAATGCCTGGTGAGAGCCTTCTTCACACTGCATAGATGGCTATCTTCTCACTATAACCTCACAAGGAGCAAACCAGCTCTCTGGGGCCTCTTTTATAAAGAAACAAATCCCATTTACAAGGGCTCTGCCCTCATGATCTAATCACCTCCCCAAGGCCCAGCCTCCTACCTTGGAAGGATTTGAATTTCAACCTATGAATTTTGGGGTGAAACAAATATATCAAATTGCTTGGGATATTTATTCTTAATTAATTCAGTACCATGTACCAACACACTTCAAAAATGCACTAGCAGAGAAGGAAATGTTTTAAAAATAGATTTTTAGACAAACATGCATACAAAAAAAAAAACCACAGAAAGAAAAGTCAACATGATATTTTTCCAATTACAATAGATTACACAACACAAAAATATCTAAAACCAGAAATATTTCCATGGCAGATACTATTGGAGAGCAGAGAAGTCCTTCTATTACTCTTGATACTCAGTGATAGGAAAATCAAATCATTTGAAAAAGAGTCTCTCGAAAGACCAGTTTTTTTGGAGATGCAATTTGTGGCATAAAAAGCAATCAAATTGAGTTAAAAGAATTGATTGTGAAGATTGTTATATGAATTATAAAAAATATTTTAGACTCTAATTTGATCGATTCGCTCTCTTTTCCTCTCTGCTTTCTTTCATGTATGTAGGAATACCTAAGTTTCAAGACAAAACTAAAACTGGATGACAAAAAACCCATGTTTGATTTTTACAGAATTTCCCTTGCTTCTATAGAAATGTGGCTTTCATAGCCATAATCTCTCAGGACCATTGTAAATACTTCTTTCCTTATGATGTATTTGGAGCATTGTATTGCCATTGACAGAAGCAGTTTTGAGAATGCATCATCACTGGCATAAACTTCTGAGTTGCTTAGCAAAGCTTAACAACAGGAATAAAAAATAAAACACTCTAAATAGACCCGGAAGGCCGCTGGTGCCCTTGCCTCGCCGCCGCGAGCAGCGCACCCAGCCCCGCAGTCGCCCGCCCGGTTCCCGGCAGCGGCGCAGTCCATGCGGCTAGGAGCGGAGGCTGGGAGCCGAGGCTGGGAGCGGGTGGTGGGCGCGGCGGCCCGGGCCCGGGCAGTGATTGGCCGCCTGCTGGCCGCGGCTCAGGCCCGGGCGGCGGGCGGCGGGCGGCGTACGCAGGCGGGAGCCCGCTGCCAGGGAGCCGAGAAGATGCTGCTGTCCCTGGTGCTCCACACGTACTCCATGCGCTACCTGCTGCCCAGCGTCGTGTTCCTGGGCACAGCGCCCACCTACGTGCTGGCTTGGGGGGGTCTGGCGGCTGCTCTCCGCCTTCCTGCCCTCCCGCTTCTACCAGGCGCTGGACGATCGGCTCTACTGCGTCTACCAGAGCATGGTGCTCTTCTTCTTCCGGGGTCCAGTTGACTGGATTGTTGCCGACATCTTGGCCATAAGGCAGAATGCGCTTGGACACGTGCGCTACGTGCTGAAAGATGGGTTAAAATGGCTGCCATTGTATCGGTGTTATTTTTTTCAGCATGGAGGCATCTATGTAAAGCAAAGTGCCAAATTTAATGAGAAAGAGATGAGAAACAAGCTGCAGAGCTACGTGGACGCAGGAACTCCAATGTATCTTGTGATTTTTCCAGAAGGTACAAGGTATAATCCAGAACAAACAAAAGTCATTTCATCTAGTCAGGCATTTGCTGCCCAACGTGGCCTTCCAGTATTGAAGTATGTGCTAACACCACGGATAAAGGCAAATCACGTTGCTTTTGATTGCATGAAGAAGTATTTAGATGCAATTTATGATGTTACAGTGGTTTACGAAGGGAAGGACGATGGAGGGCAGCAAAGAGAGGCACCGACCATGATGGAATTTCTCTGCAAAGAATCTCCAAAAATTCATATTCACATTGATCATATTGACAAAAAAGATGTCCCGGAAGAACAAGAACGTATGAGAAGATGGCTGCATGAACGTTTCGAAATCAAAGACAAGATGCTTATAGAATTTTATGAGTCATCAGATCCAGAAAGAAAAACAGATTTCCTGGGAAAAGTGTTCATTCCAAGTTAAGTATGACAAAGACTTTACCATCAATGTTGATCTTAAGTGGCTTGACTACAGGCATGCTTATGACCGAGGCTGGAAGGAAGCTGTATGTGAACACGTGGATATAGGGAACCCTACTTGGCTGCCTGTGGATTACTATCAAACAATTAACAAGTAGCTGCCTCCAGACAGTGGGATGTGCTACATTGCCTATTTTTGGCAGCTGCACATGACATCAAATTGTTTGCTGAATTTAATAAGGAGTGTAAATAAAGCCTTGTTGGTTGAACATTGGATATAATAGAAATTGTGACGAAAGCTGATATGCAATGGTCTTGGGCAAACAAACATGGTGATACCACTTTAGCACTGGGGCTGCTGGAAGGGTAAAAGCTAAATGGAGTTTCTCCTGCTCTTTCAATTTCCCATGCGCTAATGACAACTTCAGAAGGCTAGGAGGACTGTGTATTTTGTAAGTCAGATGGCTGCATTTTTGAGCATTAATTAGCAGCATATTTCACTCTGTTATTTTCAATTTATTACCATTTGACAGCTCCAAACTCTTATATTAAAGTACTTAGTATCTTGCAGCTAGGTAATATTTCATGTTTTGCTTAATTTCTACAAGTCAGTGAAAGAAACTGTATTTAAGAAGTGTCAGCTGGGCGCAGTGGCTCATGCCTGTAATCCCAGGGCTTTGGGAGGCCAAGTCGGGCAGATTACCTGAGGTCAGGAGTTCAAGACCAGCCTGACCAACATGGAGAAATCCTGTCTCTACTAAAAATACAAAATCAGCTGGGCTTTGTGGCACATGCCTATAATCCCAGCTACTTGGGAAGCTGAGACAGGAGAATTGCTTAAACTTGGGAGACAGAGGTTGCGGTGAGCCAAAATCGTGCCGTTGCACTCCAGCCTAGGCAACAAGAGTGAAACTCTGTCTCAAACACAAAAAAGAAAAAAGAAAAAAGAAGTGTCAAGATGTTAAACGGAAAGGGTAAAAAATATTTGTGGGAAAAGCTCTGTTTAGCACATGATTTTCTTGTATTGCATTATTAGCTGATTTTACTCATATTTGCAAAATAATTAAATTTCTAATATCTATTGAAATTGCTTAATTTGCACACCCTGTACACACAAAAATGGTATAAAATATGGGAATGAAGTTTAAAATTGTGACTCTGATTCATTGTAGAACTTTAAATTTCCCAGCTTTTTGAAGATTTAAGCTACGCTGTTAGTACTTCCCTATGTCTGTGCCATAAGTGCTTGAAAACATTAAGGTTTTGGGTTTTTTAAAGTATCAAAATAGTCAGTGTGAACCCTGGTTGGACCCCAAGTTCACAAGATATTTAAGGTGATGGGAGCCTGCAGACATTCTGCCTAGATTTACTAGCATGTGCCTTTTGCCTATGTCTCTTTGATTTCACAGAATATGAATTCAGAAGTCACATTTCTGTACCATGCTGGATTCCCACTGGGCTCTGGTTCTTTACCCATGGATCCCGTTAGTGGTGCTGCTCAGCGGCTTGCACGCAGACTTGCTCAGAGGAAATGCAGAGCCAGCCCATGCTGCTGCTGTCAGAGGTCAACTCACTAAGCCTTTGCCAGCGGGCTTCACCAGCCACTGCAGAGGCATTTTGCATTTGTCTGTGTCAAGAAATTCACCTTGTCAAACCAGTGAAATATAGACTGGATTCATCAGGACTGAGCGAATTTGTTCATTTCCCAGTACTTTTAATGGAGCTACACATTCATATGTATCACCTTAGAGCAAGAGCTGTGTTCCAGGAACCAAATCATGAATTTCAGCCATGGACCCATGGGAAGAAGACCTTTCAGTGTGAACTACTCTATTTTTATGTTATAATTTCAACTTGGATTTCCTCATAGTCCTTTAAGTTAACATTTCTGCTTACTGCTACTGGATTTTTGTAGCAAAAATGTATCAGTGAGCCACATGAAACATACCAATGGGATCATGATAAACAAAATGAAAAATGATTAAGGGAAAATTAAGTGACTGCTACTCTGCTTCTCCCAAGCCAGAGAAATAACTTTCAAGCAATGTCTTTGAAGAGTCATGTGGTGTGAAGTGGTGTGTATGCATTAGAATGTATATATATTCACACATCCATGTTCACTCAGGATACAGGTGGCCTAATCATCAATGGGGGTATGGATAAACTTAAGAAAAGTTTCCTCATGCTGCACTGTAATTGTTTCTTACCTGTAAGGTAAAATTTAGATCCATTCCATGGCATTTTTAAGTACAGGAATTTAACATATTTTGAATATAATGGATATGCTCTAAATTTGAATTTCGAGAGGCAATACTATTAGAGTTATGTGGATTCTAACTCATTTTAACAAGGCGGCCTAACCTAAAACTGTACTAATCTTCTCACAAAAGGTCTATAAAATATGGTAGTTGAAAAAAAATTTGTATCAAAATGTTTGGAAAGTCAAAAGCTTCTCCTTAACCTGTGTTCACATTGACTTGAGTTATTTTCTCTTATTAAGAGCCTTATGCCTGTAAATCTTTTCACATATCGTTTAAACTTTTGTTTGTGTTGTCATTGATTTACAGCTGAGTTGTTTTTCTTTATAAGAATGTCATCGATGTGCATGCTTTTATGTTTTTCAGAAAAGGGTGTGTTTGGATGAAAGTAAAAAATAAAATCTCTCACTGTCTCTAAAAAAAAAACCACTCTAAATAAATTAGTTAAGGTCTAACTAGGAAAACAAAACAACTCTGAACATTTAAATCTAAGTTAATTGTTACAGTTGATTAACTGGATGATGGGAGATGAGAAGACAACCAGGCAATAGTGAGGATCCCCCAAATAAGCAACTGCAGGAAGCTTTCAGAGGGTCAAAGGTGGAAGGCAGGAACACCAGACCCCAGTGGCTTTGGGAATTCTGCAGAAGAGAGAAGCACCAGTGAGACTTAAACCACAGACAAGAACAACTGATGTAAAGAAGTCTTCCTGCAGGCAGAGAAAAAGGGAGATAAGTACCCTGGCTCTTTTCTTCCTCTTTACCTATCCTGACTTTATATGCCAACTGGCCAGATCCAAGCATATGCCAGCTGACAGGAACCTGGGAAATTCAGCTATGATGATACAGAGTACTGCAGGGCAGGGATAAGGCAAGGAACAGATCCTAGGCGAGCGGGCCCAGAACCACAGTACACAGTTCCCAGAAAGTGTCAGAAAGTTTTTCTGAGATTTGCAAATAAGGCAGAAAGGTCACTGGCATGTTGTTTCTGTCACACAGAGACAAAGGCAACGAAAGGGTATCTAGCAAAAGGTATTTAGTTCATCTTACTGTTTGTTATTGATTAAAGGGCCTAGGTTTAGCAAGGCTGTTTTGTTAACTTGCAGATTTTTGTCTGGTGGGAATAAAAATAATTTTTATTTCGCAGAACAGGCACCCTCGTAAGTTCATGACCTCATTAGACCTCAGCTAGTTTTACATCTAACAGCCATTTTATTGAAACATTGCCTATGTATATCTAACTTCTTAAATGCTCTTTCAACCAACCACAGCTTCTTACTGATTCCCTCATTATTAATGATTTAAATAGAAACTTTGGCATATGTTCAATGTATATTTGCACAAGAGTAATACTTTTACCTTTTGAAAATTACATATTAACAAGGCATTACAAATTTTGGTACAATTAATTTCAACACCCTCAACATACACGATGGTAAATAATGCTCCTAACTCTAGAAATAAAGGAGGAATCTAAGAGATTTAAAAATTCATGACCAGAAAAAAAACATTTCCTTCCTCTCTCCCTTCTTTCCTTCCTTTCTCCCATCCTTCCTTCCTTTTTCCATTCTCTCTCTTTTCTCCATTTCTTTGTTTCTTCTTTCTTTCAAGAAAACTAATAAAGACATGGTTCTCATGAGTTCCTAGAATGTAAATCAACAAAAATTGGTCTTAGAGGCTATGCTCCAAATAGCAACTAATTTGGGGGTGACCCACACAGCAGTAGTGCCATAACCCATTTGAATTTTTGATTTTTTTTAAATGAAGGTCAAGTGCTGAGTGTCTCCCAGGAGACCACCTAGTTTCATTGCATAGGCACGACAGAAGTCTCCACCTAGTTGGGCTTCTCTTGTAAGTTCATGTCTGCCCCTACATGAGGCAAACAAGGCAAGTAACTTGGCAGATGGATTTCTGATCTTAAACATAATGTACTAAATATTAAAAAAAAAATTGCCCTAGGTTGTCTTCAAGGAATTCTTAATGGTCTCGATTTTTGCTAGAGAGCTACTGTACACAAGAGAGACACCTGGTCCTTAGTGAAGTTACACTCAACTGAGGTAAGTGCAATTCCACCTATATTGAGATGCACTGATACAAGTTTCAGCAGATGTTTCAGATGGAATTAAACTGTCCTGTGAAAAACAATGTGGTATGTAATACTATCAGAAAGCTCCTCACCAAGAATGGTTCACAATGTCAGTTAGCCCTATCCAATTCTAGTGTGTCCCTATCATGACTAGATTACACTGAATAATTGTCAAGTACCATCCTCCATTACAGTGTATTCAATGTCAATCAATCCACAGTACCAGACAGATATATTTACTGTATGTGATATGGCCAGGAGGTCTTGGCGACTTCTTGGAAGATTGAGATAATAAAACACATTTAAAATAGTGATGAAACAGGACAATTTATTAGTAAAAGTCTTAAATTCTCAACTCTTTCCTTTGTCCCTACAAAGATTCCAACTCACATCAAGACAAGGACTATGGCCGTTAAGGATGTGATTTAACAAGCTTAAACAATTGAGTGAGTCTTCTAATTTCAAAGTCTCCAGTGGATATAACACAAACAATCATCAGTCTGCAGGAGAAGATGACCCCAGCACAAATTTTTAACATTATGTTTCCAGCTATTTAACCACAGACACTAAAAGACTTCAATACTATGTTTTGGTAGACTAAGATATAGAGAAAGTTTAGCATTAAAATACAGTCTTCAAAGAATCATTATCAGTAAAATTTATATTTCTAACATATCAGAAAGGTTTATAAGTCATTTTGATCCTTTAGCACTTCATTCATAGTTTTGATCTAGAGTATAGTGGTAAATAGATATATTGTTTGTGTATCGTGGACTAGACTTCAAAATTATATAGATACTTATCAACACTAAAGTCTAACTGAAACAGTGATTTACGTTGATCCAAGTGTAAGGGCAAGCTCAGAAGTCAATACCTGTTTAACATTCCAGAAAGAGCCTTCACCTTGGTAAGTTTACCCTGTTCTCTACAGTAGCTCAGCAATGATAATTTTGCTGGGAAGAAAAGTCTAGTAGAATAGACTAATCCAAGAATATTTGAAGTTTTTTTTTAACTTTTTAAAGTAAGCCAAACACAATTCATACAGATTTGTACAGAGTATTAGAAACAGAAGCATTAATGTAAAAGCTTAAAGTTTAAATTCCACAGTTCAAGTTCATCTCTTTTCTAACTCAGATACCTTACATTGGTAAATGACAGAGACTTTTATAGTTTTTCAGAGACTCCTATACATTATGTTCTTTTAAACAATAACCAAAATCCTAAACAAAAACAATAACCAAGGTATAATGAAAACAGGGTATAGCAGCAGGATTCTTAAAAAGTAAATTATCAGTTTTTAGTTTAGTTTTGAATCTTATGTAGGCAATGAATGTTCACCGTCAAGAGTTGAAGGATGAGAGATTTTCAACAACAGTCTTTAAAAGGAGAAAAAATTCCACACTGTAATTCTTAGGCAAGCACAACCTAAATCATTGTAATGTACAGGAACTCCCAAAGCATGCCAGCACCATAGAAAATAGAAGAGTCCCATCAGCCTTCTTTAGAACTGGTTCCCTGGGGAGCCAATGACCATCAAAACATAATGGCTTTTGTTACTGGTAAGAGTAATCTTCCTTGTGGAATATACATTCATGAACCAAATTTTAAAAATCTTGCTTTCTTTGTCTTTCCACAGTTGATATGCTTGAAAGAATATCCACCCTGAATACCTACCCTGTAACCTTTAGGGCTTCAGTGGTATAGGGTCTACATATCTTAAGGAAATAATCTTTCTAAGGCCTAAATATTGAGGTTTTCTTTTGTCTTTCTCATTCTTTGAACTTGACCTTCACTATTAAAACATCTTTATTGGAGTAAATTATGGACAAAATTAAATATGCATATTTAATTTACAAAGGTATATGGTTTTATAACAAAATTAAATGTATTTAATTTCTCTTTCTACTTATCTCTGAAATCTTTTTATTAAAATTGGCAGTTTCTTCATCCACTTAGTCTTATCCTATGTTCTGTTCACTGGGACATCTCTTTAAAAATACTTTGATTATTTTTTTCTGGGATTTTACTCTACTTTTTAAAATAGTATGCCTATTCTGTTATCTCTTGGTTTATTGATATTGGATACTACCTATTGGCTTCCTGTTATGATGAATAAGGACTTAGATATTTTTTACATATCTGCCGCATTCTACCTTACCCTAAGTTACTAAAAATACTGCTTTATAATACTTATAACTTATTAATAATCAAGGTTTACATTTTTATGATCAGACATATAGTGTTCATTACATAGCTGAATAGTATATGAAGATTACATTTCCATGCCTGGGATTTTTGCTTTTTTTTTCATTACCCAATGTAAAGAGTTACCACATTTTTTGCCGGCATTATATTCTGAATGTCTATCCAATTTTTTTTTCCCAAACCCCATTTACATCTTCCAAATATCAATCAGCACTTCCTCTTTTATGCTTGAAACCTATCTTGGACCTCAGTCTCTGGGTGACATCCAGATGAGTTGCTCTCCAGATGTTAAGCAGCTGTGGTCCTGAGGTTGCCTTTGACCACATTCCCTGATGGATTCCCTGTTTCTGGATCCCATAACTTCATTTCTGATTTTTTTTTCTGTTTTGTACATTCTCCAGTAGTTTCCAAGAAAGTGTGTATATGACATAAATCTTTGGGTTTCTGAATGCTAAAAATTGTGTTCTTTCTTCCCACTTGATTGATAGTCTGACAGAATATTCTAGA